TTTTGTACTCATTGCATATACAATAGCTGTGTATTTCAGTTTTTGAAAGGAAAATTCTTTCAGTAGTGGGTTGATCTGTCTGTTTAGAACAGCTCTATACAACTGTTTGAGAGTGAGTGTTACACTCTGAAGTTGAAGAAAAGCCTCTCTAGGAATTGGAAGTAGAAAGTACTTGATGTTACAGTAGAATATTTTAGAATGTTCTGAGGGTAATGTTGCCGCTGAGCCCCCTTTAAGGGATAAATAGAGATAGGTTCCACCACATTTGCCAAAAAAAGGTCTACTCTGAACTTTTGTTGTTGGATCACGCTTTGGAGCCTTCAGCAGTAAGTCTGTCCAATATGATTGTGGTGATCTGAGACAGTGCAGTCTGGCAGATGCTCTTTGTTACCTGTCCCCCTGCAAAGCACTGTTCTATATCTTATGCTACAAAAGGGAACTTATGCTCATACCTTCTTCATCAATTTAAAGGTAACACATCAAACTGGCTAAAGTAGTACATAAGACCCCAGAGCTTCACCCAAAAAAACTCTTGTTCAAACTTGGTGAATTAACTTTAAATGCACATACACTGAGAGAGATTTGATGCTTGTTGATGGAAAGGAAGTAGTTAAGAAAACGTGCTTTTAGAAATCCTATGAGGTGCATGTTGTAAGGCTACATTTTTTTGGATCAGTTATTATAGCCATGGTTAAAGCTGCCTAAGATAAACCACAACTGATCCAGTAGCCACATAGCTCAGTGTTGAATCTGTGTAATATGCTTTGTGTTTTTGAGCACCACCTGTTCAAGTGTCACCTGCCCGATGGTACGATTTCAACATTTAACTCCTATAAAAAAGGTTTAAAAATTAACTTACCTGCATCACAAACCACACAATCTCCAGTAATGATTGGCTTTTCCCAAGATGACATTGTATGAAAATCAGGTGATTGTAATACACTAAACAACATTAATTGCCTTCCTGATCTACTTCCTCCTTGCTAATTATTCCTTTTGTTAGTGTGCTGCCCTAGAAAAAAGTCTGAAATTGTTTCCTGTTTGGTTTCTAAAACATTGGGAGTCCTCAACGCTTTGCACCATTAATTCCAGGCACACAGAAATGCTCTTAATAGTTATAGAATCACAGAATGGTTTGTGTTGGAAGGGACCTTAAATATCACCTGGTTCAAACCCCCCTGCCATGGGCAGGGGCACCTTCCACTAGAGCAGGTTACTCAAAGCTCCATCCAGCCTGACCTTGAACACTTCCAGGGCAACCAACTTCTCTGGGCAACCAAAATCCAAACCTACCCTCTTTCAGTAGTACCCCTTATCCTATCACTACATGCCCTTGTACAAAGTCCCTCCCCAGCTCTCTTGTTGGCCTCCTTTAGGTACTGGAAGGTGCTGTAAGGTCTCCCCAGAGCCTTCTCTTCTCCAGGCTGAACAGTCCCAACTCTCTCAGCCTGTCTTCATATGAGAGGTACTCTAGCCCTCTGATCAACTTAGTGGCTCTTCTCTGGACTTGCTCTAGCAGGTCCACATCCTTCTTACGTTGGAGGTCCAGAGCTGGATGCAGTATTCCAGGTGGGATCTCATGAGACCTTAGTGGAGGGGGAGAATCACCTCCCTCGACCTGCTGTTCACAGTCCCTTTGATGCAGCCCAGGACACAGTTGGCTTTCTGAGCTGTAAGTGCACATTGCTGGCTCTTGTTGAGCTTCTTGTCAACCAACACTCCCAAGTCCTTCTCCTCAGGGCTACTCTCAGTCCATTCATCCCCCACCCTGCATTTGTGCTTGGGCCCTCAGCACCTATTCATTTCTGAACATAGTGAAAACCGAGAGCCTTCTGTCTTACAAGTTTGAAGACCTTTGCTATTTAAAAGATATGTAGATGTGGCACTTAGGAACATGGTTTAGGGGTGGAATCGGCAGTGCTGGGTTAATGGTTGGGCTAGACGATCTTTTCCAACCTAAATGATTCTATGATTACTTCCAGGTATACTAGATATAGAAAAGAAAAACTATTTAATTATTAAACTGGGTGTGTCTCTTTAAAAATTGGGGAGTACAGCTCTGGAGGGATTGTCTGAGATGATGCTACAGATGCATTTTTAACTGGTCAGTTAGTGGTAGGCATCCAATGTGCGTCAGAAGTGATGGGCAGCTTCCCTATAAAGCAGTTACAAAGTCTGTGAATACCTGATGTTACCTATAATTACACACAAGACAAAAGGAACAGCCTGAGAAATGCATCTGCCTGTCAATGTTATGAAACCAGTTGAACTCACAAGAGACAATAATTAATGTGGTATTGTTCCAGGTAATTTTAGATAGTATTCTTACCACCCAGTGACATGTGATGCTGTAACCTGCAACATGAAGGAGAATAACATGTACAATATATAATGCTATTTTAAAAATGTTGGTCCATTTTGATCACATCTCCATTAAGTGGAATGAAAAAACTTCACCTGGCATGAGGGTAAAAAAAAAGTCAAAATCTGTGAGTAGGAAAGAACTGATGGTATTGAACTTTGATGTGTTTTAGATCTCAGGTATACTCCCTTCTAGTTTATGTAAAACAAGTGGGAAATGCTATTTTGTCAGGTGACATTTTTTTGTCCACTCTGTTCTGTCTTTAAGTCAACATAACAGTGTCAGTGACAGACCATGGAGAAACCATGTCTGTGGTCACTGACTGCAGCTTATTGCCAGAATGCCCCTGTGAAAACGAGGAGGCTTTCCTGCTTCTTGAATTTAAGATGCAGATACCATTTGATAAGTGAACTCCTCCTCTTTCTCTGACTTTCCATCTCCTCCCTCCCTCAGTCACGCGCTGTGCTGACCAAAATCCAGGACAAAGAGAATATGTATTGGTACTGTACTGTTGATGTAATTTTCTGAATTAAATCTATCATAAAAATGAAAAATTGTGACATACTAGTGACAGATGCAGCCTACTCTCATTAAGTGGTTCACCTGAATTCAATGCTCTGGATTTACAGCCCCACAGCAGAAGATGGTGTTTTCTAACATCATGCAGCTCTCATTACATGGTGGTGCCTTGGACAAATGCACTGTTCTGCTTCATTCAATGTATGTGAGCATGACTGTGTTTCCATAAAGGCTGCCTACTTTTGGCTTTTACTCTATAAGGCAGTCGGCAAATTTTGTGAAGATAAAGAGGTTTTTAGCGAGAAAAAGTCCACTTCATAGTGCTACTGAGAAAATATCCTCTTATTTGGATGGATTTACACTGGAAATCATGTGAATACAAGGAATCTGTCGCAGGGACCTAAAAGCCTACAAGCCTACAGCAGCACAGATAAAAATAATTGCACTTAAAACATAGCATCTACTCAGTAAGTACATAAAGAGCAATGCAAAGCAGAGGAGGCATTAAGAATTCATGTGACTACTGTGAAATGTAGAAAACATGTGGTTACATAGTTAATAAATGAAACAGAAAAATACATAGCAAAAACAAACAGTATTTAAATTCAAAACTTTATCTTAAGGACTGTCAGCAAGTGACCAACACATTAGGAAAGAAATCTTACCTAAGATCAGAGGCTACTTCTCAAAAAAAGGTCTCAAGTCATCAGCATGAAAACAGGTTCAGTGACAGAGGAACACTAGTTTATTGTCGCTAACATGATGCTGTTTTTATAAAATGTAACTGGATGTTAATACTAAATTACTATAATCTAATATAAATTGCCTTGTTCTGTAGAATTGCCTTGTTGCCATCAAGCTGTGCACTATGAACTTTCCCCAGATCATTTCTTCTGTCTTTCTTCCCTTCCAGCATTTCTTCAGTCACTATTTCCTTTTGAAAAGATTAAAGCCACACTGTACATGTGATGTTTCTATTTTCTACCTGTTAAACCTCTACTGTTTGAAATGTTAAACCCCAGTAAAAGGACTAAGTGATAGTCTAGTCTGAGATACCACAAAGATATCAGGTTCATACATGAAAAATGGTTGCCTAGCCTTGTTGTAATCTTGGGAAGATGTCATTATGAGTTCTACACTTAAGACTCACCTTAACTCATATTCCAACCCTCCTGGAACAAGAAGGTTAGGTTCACCAGTGAAGGTTCCCTCTTTCATACTATCTCAGGATTTAAGTCTATGATACTTGTGTTTATTGATTTTTGAGGTGACACGACCCACTTGATCATCTCCTATGCTTTACAGACTAATAGCCATCACTTGATTTTGAACCCAGTAATCAGTATCTGACCAAAACAGTGTTTCCTACCTGCCACATCTCAAGCCCAGAAGAGCAATGGGAATAGATGGATTTGTGATTTATTAAATAATGAGCAGAAAGGTACTGGAAAAAAATTTTGCCTTCCTACCCTCCACACATGCTGGGCAGTCTTGGGAAGAGAAAAATATGGCAAAGTGGACAGGATTGAAGGGCACTGGCCTCCCAGACCATCCTTCCTTCTCCAAATGACTCAGATGTTTTAGATATGTGAAAAGTCTTTTGACCACAAGGTGCAAGTCTTTCAGAGACCCTCTGTGTGTCCCCTCTAGCTTCAGCTGCTGAGGGACCAGTTTCCTTCTTCCTAATTTCGGCTGCAGCATCCTGCCTCCCTAAATCTGACAGTCAAATCCTGCCTCTGTCCTCAAAGTATTCAAGTTCCCTTTCCGAATTAAATTTGCCATAATCAATGAAGCAGTGAGATCCTCTTCTTCAATTACCCTTTTAAAAATTCATACAAAAGTAGAATTCTTAATTAAAAGCTTACCAATCTGAAATCATTGAGGAAATAAGACAAAAAAAATCCTTCCAGAAATGTGCCCAGACTAACTCAGACACAAAGCAAGGAGAGCACTAGATAGGGATCCGATTTTTGCCTAGCCTCTGCAACTGATTCACTGCAATACTTTCTGCAAGTCATTTATTGTGCAGCAATGTGCTTATTGATGGAGGAAAACCAGTATTTATTTCCTTTCACAGAGTTGTCCTGAGTCTGACTAACAACTACTTGTGCAAATCTTTGGATGAAAGAAATCGTAAGAGTTCTAAGCTCTTAATATATATTACTTATTGCACTTTAAAATAGTCATCACACTAGGTAGGAATTAACATTCCAAATCCCATAGGGTGGATACCTCTTCCTACACGTATATATAAAAGTCATCAAGTGACCTGCCTCAGAGGAAGGCCAACTGAAGACAGGTGAGTCTGAATTCACTCTTAGAACATTTATTTAGAGCCAGAAGCCTTTACTTTGTTTTGATTTAGCCTTTTGTTTTGATTTACCATTTTATCAATATTGTGATTACTATGCTGTATCTAACTCAGGCCTGTGAGGTTTTTGTGATGGGAGGGGAAAAAAATGGCTGGTAACTTAAAAATTTATAATCTGGCAATTTCCTACATGTGGAAAGAGCTACAGCCTGTAGCTTTTGATGCAGACCCATATGGATGTGCCATTGAATTTATAGGTATTGGGTCAAGCTATATTGATCTGGGCTTGTAAATACTCTCTGTTAGTGCTAGAGGTCAAACTGAGTTCCTGCATGTACCCAGCTCCATCTGTGAACATTTTTCCTGAATAGGCTCACTCACTCATTGGAGCCTCTCCAATGACACTGGTGGACTATCCGTGTTTTTCCATTCGTGCAGTCTGGTTTGCAGTAGAAATGCAGTCTAGAGAAAAGGTCACACATTATTAAAATTGATAATGTATTTTCAAGTGTTAACAGCATTAGTGATGACTGCCTACAAGACTCGTGGTGTGTTTTTTATTTGAAATCTTCTTGGGGAAAAAAGTATTTGTAAGCCATAAAAGCTCCTCTGTTTAAATGTGTTAACCAGCAAGCCAAATACAGTCAATGCTTTTTGCATTTGATAGCTATTATCTGATGACATTTTGGAATTTTTTTAATAAGCACAACAGATGCATTTATTAGCAAAGTGATTATCTGCTGTTATTGCACAGAGAAGTATTATTTCACTAAATAAATCTTGGAGTTGCCTTGCATGCTCTTAGCAGAGAATTAAGGGTCATATTGCTTGATTTTTGAAAGCAAGTTTTTCCAAAAGCCAAGCAAAAATCCTTTTTGAACAGAGAAGCAATGGATGTGTGCACTTTGTAGCACATTAGACTTCGAACACCTATAAAATTAAAGCAAAGATGGCATACCTTGTCATTGTAAAGACATGCTACGGGTGTTCAGGAGGGGCCATGTGAGCAAGCAATGAGAACTGACAGGGACTAAAAAGGTCCCTGCTGGCCCAGGCTGCCAACAGGGACCTCCCTGATCCCAAGCTCCCCAAGGGGAGAGCGTGCTGCAGAGGAGGTGCCTCTGCTCCCCAACCCCTCTTCAGCAAATGCCATCCCTGTCTGGTGCCTCAGGGCAGGAGCTTTTGGCACCCCAACTTTGCTACAGTGCTGTTGAAGATCAGCAGTGATTTCTTCATGTTTTGCAAACTGCTGTGTTTCCAGGTCTCCTGGGACAGCTGAGGAGAGCCATCGCCATGATCCCCGCACTGCTCTTGCTGGGCCTTTCAGCCCTTGTCGGTGAGATGGGTTTGGGTTGCTGTCAAAATCACAGTGGGAATTGTTTGCAGAAGGACCACGGAGAGGAGGTGTGCAGACAGGCTTGAGGTTCCCTTTCTGCATGGCCCTGTAAAACCCTGTGTGGCTAAAGGTCCTCAGCTGCTGTATGAGGCCACTTGCTGCCCACACGTCTTTTAAACCAGCATATCTGGAGTATGGGACTGAAACCAAAAGGGAGTCACAGACACAGCTCCTCTTGATTTTTCCAGCTAACCTTATCCAGTCTCTCTACCTGCTCAGAAATGGTCTCACAAATGTGGCAAGCTGTTTGATGGAGGCTATTTGTTCCTCGGTTACTAAGGAAATGGGGTAATTTTCAGAGACTGAGGCAAGCATTCTCCTGAATTAATTCCTCACCAGGTTATGGAGGGACACAGGAGACACTTCCAGCCAGGGTGCTCAGGTACCTCCAGCCATCATCTGAGGGATCCTGGACACTGGGCGCATTGAATGGGAAGAGCCCTCTGAAATAAATGCAGGGACTGTGGTTCTTCATTCCCACACCAGCCTTTAGACCTAACAGGGCAGGCACATATTCATCTAAATCTTCATTAGATCCACTTGCTTCAACATATTCAGTTAGAAAAGAACAAATTTCTGTTCTCTACTTTCTTTGATAGCATTACTGATGGAGAGCAGTGGCAACTGTACAAGCAGGGCCAACACAAGGGGATTGTGGATTGCAGGTCTGGGTGACTCCCTCATGCTCAACTTGTATGCACTTTCAGCACTTGTACAATACTGCTCTGAGATCTTATGTGTTCAAACACCTCCGTTTAATATTTCAGCTCCATCCATGAGTTACAGTTGCTATGGTGATATAAGTGCCCTTCCAGCCCCCACGGTGTCCTGTACAGCTGTAAGAGCCCCAGACTGTGGTAGGTATCATTCATTGCTTGACTTGTCAACCTGTTTCTACCTGACAGAGAGATGCTTTACTTACTGTTATTGCCAAATTAAATGTGGTGCAGCTATTCAATTAGTCAAAAGGGAGAAGGCAACACTTCCTCTCCCAAAATGGCAGGTGCTGTGAAGCCCCCAGATCTGGTGGGAAGTGGAAGCACAAACCCCAGGTCCTGTAGTCAGGATCTTCAGCCTCAGAGTAAAGGGAAATAGTACCACCCCTTTTCAGTTAAAACAGCTTCTTCATCAGCCAGGACTTTGGCATCAGCATCCTCACAAAACCCCAGGCCCCGTATGCTGGAAGGTGAAGATGCACAGATCCAGGTTCTGAGTGCTGGCATGTTGGCTGAGCTGGCCAGTGGTGACCTGTCAGAGACACATTTTACAGGGCAAAGGTCCCAAGTGTGTAACCATCCTACTTCTGGATGACTAGTGTTCAGTAAGTCCTTCACATTTCTCTCTTTCTTTCCTCATGTTATTTCCCTGTGCATTGCACATCTGACTGTGTCGGGTTAATACTGCTCATATCTCCAGGAATTTGGCCACATACTTTAGAATTAGGCTCTTTCAGGGCAGACACCTTGACTGCCAGTGTCCAAGCATGGATCTGAACACACCTGCTTGTTTCCAAACTGTTCCAAAATTGCTTTAAAAAACCTTTTTTTCTATAGACAGAATATATAACAGTTACTCCAGTTTGTCTGGTCAGTAGTAATGTGTATCTATTTTTGCAAATCCCTTTTGAAATTTCACTCTTCTGACTCCAGAGCCACATTTACAGTGGAACTTCAGAAGAACAGGACCACAAACATGTGGTTCCACTTCCTGAGAAGCCTCCCTCTTCCCCTTGGGTACTGGCACAGCAGCTTCCTAGCCATGGTCAGAGCCAATAGGGCTGTGCTTTTTCCTCAAGCTCCACTGCCCAGTTCGGTGTAGATGCAATTCCTTCAGAATTTGAGTTACTTCTCTGATACATCTGCTCAAGGGGAAAGGGAGGCTTTTGGACAGGGATGTGTTTAAGTCTGCCTTTTCCTACACTGCAGGATATGCCATGGTACGGAGGACTGCTGAGGCAGACCTCGTGCGCCTGAGGAAATACGAGGTCCCGATTAGACGAGTAGCCAGAAACCTGTGCTTGGACCCAGCTCTCATTGGTGCCATCATGTCACAGGAGAGCCGTGTTGGCCTGCTCCTGAACAACGGCTGGGACCAGGGACGGCAGAAGTACGGCTTGATGCAGGTACATCAGGATGATAAGTACGAGTAACAGCACGGTAATTTAATGCATACCCCAGGTCCTTACCTTAGCAAATGACTGTTCTGTATTCAAAACAGCACTAAAATCAAAGGTTGTTCTTAAGTGTCTGGAATAAGGTCACTTCAATGAGTTGCAGCCTGGGGGGCCAATGAAGAGGAAGAAGCTACATCAGAGGTTGCATTCAGAGGGAAACCCATTTTCTTGCTTGTCTTTTCTAGATCAGCAGGCAGCTACAGCAGCCTTATGCAGTGTGGGATAGTGAAGAACACATAAATCAGTGCTCAAATATTCTGGTTCTTTCAATCAATGAAGTACGGACAAGACATCCTACCTGGACCTGGGATCGGCAGCTGAGAGGTACACAATGGGCTGTATACCTGAAAGGGACACACTGAGAGTATTGTGCACTCATTGGTGTCACTTTTAAAGGAAAAAGAGCATCAGTCTGGCAGATTTTACAGCATGTCTTACAATAAAAACCCCAACCAAACCCAGTTTTCTAATTTAAAAGAGGCAATTCCAAACTGGCAGATCAGCAATGTGAAATAGCTGTCAGGCAGATAAATAAGGTAGAAAATAACCAAACACAAGCCACTGGGGAAACTGAGGCAGAAATTGAGGCACCACAACACAATGAGCTTATCGTGGCAGGCTGTTGTGTCCAGGAATCTTGGGATCCAGGTGTCCTTATAGTCCATGTTGGTTCCTTATAGTCTTCATGGTGGTTCATTCACTCTATGCTATAATTTACTCTCCCATCCTTGCTCTGATACTGCCTTTTTAGATTACATACTTTCTGGAAACAGTATGCCATTTTCAACTGTTGCTACAGTGAAGGAACCCATGATTCTCTCCAAATGCAAAGATTTTACAAAATCAGTCACTTTTCAACAACAGTGCACAGTTAGCATTTTGCCAAGCAGTTGTGTATGTTTGATGAGACGCATGCCCCTTTCAGCTAGAAATTTTTACTCTTAAAACTCTATTTCTTACTTACAAGCCCAAAACAACTCCTTCCTAACTCTTTCCAGGGGGAATCTGCACCTATCATGCGAGAATGGGCAATCTCCAGGTCTATGAGGAAGACCCATGCAGCAGAGACAACAACTATGTCAACAGCGTGATCAGGCGAGCCCAGTACTTCAAGAGAAATGGGTTCTAGCTCATAAACCCGCCCCACCACTGAGCCTCTCCTCTGCACAGACTAGCAGTGATCACAGTACCCAGAGCAGGTCTTCTGGCAGGACCGATGCTGGGAGCATTGCCAACAGCACCTTGCTCACTCCAGCAAATCCCAGCTCCCCACTCACCAGTGGGCGAGCTCAGCACTGCCTTCCAGGGAACCCACAGGGATGAGATACCACAAGCTTGGGGCCTTTGAGAAGCAGATGGGGACAGACCAGCAGTGTTTAAATTTTGAGTGAGGAATGTGACTCTTCCTGTTTGGAGCTGAACCCAGGGCTGTTCATGCATCCCCCAGATGCAAGCACACAAGCAGCTCTCCCTGGACATCAGCTGTGCTCTTCCCATCACCTCCATCCACCTCCTTCCCTCTCCATGGCCAATGCAGGGGATGAAGTCCCTGAGTTAAAATTTTCCCTCCCCTTGATGCTGCTGGCTACGGGGCAACGAAGAGACCACTGAGCCTTTGGTCTCTGCAGTAGCTGAGTATTCCTGTGGCCAGCCTTGAGGGGGACAATGCTACACATGACTTGGTTAGTCTATCAAGCCTTGGAGTCCATGGCCATGGTGGGGCTGGGGACCTCTTAAGGGTGAAAAGTAGCCTCACATAGGGGAAATCCTCTATATTGAAAGTACTGCAAGCGCCACAGCAGGCATGCAAAACACCTTTCCATTAGAGACCAGCCCTCAGTGGAGTCAGCCCCGTACGTACCCACCCAAGAGCTGTATCACAGCAACAGTGTTGGTAAAAACCCCCACAACCTTTCCTGCTTTATCTTTGGCTCCCTTGTGTTGGGTTTCCTCCAAATTTAAAAGCATTTCAGCATCCATCCCTCTGCCAGGTATCCCAGCTTCTAATAGGAGTGAATCAGCTCTGGGGTTATAAGGTCTGTTTGAAAGTGGTCTTCTATGTGGATGGGTCTCTGGGTGCCAATTTATGTTTAATTAGAATAATAATTAGAATAATACTGAGAATAATGATAAGAATAAGAGAGAAAATAAAGATAAATGTTAAATTCCAGTGTTGTTTTTTTCAATTTCATGGGGCTCAGTGGGTAGCAACCTACAACTTGAGTAAATAACCCGGTTTGGTACTCTTGGAATAGGTCTAAAACTTAGTTTGAGAACAAGGAGAGGAATATGGTGCTGGAGACTGGATAGGTGAGAAGAGCTGGGCCTGAGCCTGGCCACTGACCCAAACCTGTGAACAAGAGAATAAGGATGTTCACATTTAGCCTTTTGAATTTTCATTTTGGAGGTATCAGAGCACCTTTCTGCCAGCTGTCACCTTTGCTGATGTAGAAGTGATGTGCCTGGCAGTCCCTGCCTGGCAGCACAGGGATGTGCTGTGTGTGTGCCTGGGCTGCCAGGCAGGGTCAAGACAGGAAGCATGAGAGCTGGTTTGGAGACAGCTTTTGCCAGCAGAACAATTTTAATGCTGTGCCCCTTGTCTTGCCGGTCACTCATCTGCTTTCTGTCACAGCAAGGACTCTCTATCATTAACATATTGACAAGCAAACTCATTTTATCACCTCTGGAGATCAGAAGGAACTCTAGGATGTCTCAAATATTACTATATTTTTTTTTAAGACTACAGTAAACAGTTCAGTGTTGAGCAACCACAGGCATTGAACTATATATTATTTAGTCTTTAGTGAATTTTGCACTCTATTAATATAATTTTACTAAAATTGTTACTTTGTAATAGAATGTATGAAGCCTCTCATGTGGTTTGATCCCCTCTCATGCGGTTGACATAGCTTAGGTAAAATTCATAGGATGAGGTCTTTGGTGCATCATGTTATGTAAACCTCTGTGTTATATAAAACTCTTACATAAAGCCTATGACTGCATTTTTGGTAGATCAGTATAAACTTCAAATGGGCAGGAAATCTCATTGCTACCTATGTGTACAAAGTTGGGGTTTGAGTTTGGAGAGTGAACCAGAGTGGAGCTTCCTTTGGTTGCCTTCATGCTTGGTTCCCTTCAATCACTGCCAGGAAGCTCCTTGTCACCACTGCTGGTGCTGCCATCCCTGCAGACCTGTGAGCTCCTCAGGTCTCCAATTTACACGAGTGTTCCCATGAAGTTGCTGCTTCAAGTTATCGTAGCAACATCCAAGGGCCTGCAGACTTGCCTGCTGACTTGTGCAGCATCACCACAAAGGATCATCTATTTTTTAAGTCCATTTAAAATTCCCAGTTATGGGAATTCCATATTTTGTTGCAAATATTGTTTTAGGGTATCAGCACCTTGCAGGGAATACAGAAAACCTCTGCAGAAAATGAGTTGAAACTTGATAAATTCGTAGGAAGGAGTAAATAATTAGGAAAGTTTAACACTGGCATGCTGCCTTAAGATTTGAGCAAAAGCTTTCCTGATAAACAGTGAGTTCAGATTGCTGTTCCCTGTCATCTTTTTCTAGTCACCTGTGTCCATGTTACTGGGAGTTACTCTTCTGCCTGGTGTAGACAAGGCAGCTGCAGTTGTGCTCTTGGTCACCCTTTTGACCCACAGCCCACTGAGAAGAAAAACCAACAGACATCTTGCAAAGCAAATGATCTAATACCAAGTAACATATCAGACAAAAGCAAAAGCTCAGGTAAGGAAAGAGAAAAGACAAAATAGAGGGGAAAGAAAGCTCCAGGGAATCACATACCAGGACATCTGTTTACAACACTGAGGAAGATGTCAAAGGATTGAATGGTTGCTTCAAGAGATCCTGGGGGACAACAAAGCAGCAAGACTTAGGAGGGTTCTGGCAGCCTGACTTGGTAGGGAAAAACCACCTCAGATCAACCAAAGTCTTTATCTAACTGGGGAAGTGGCCAAAAGAGAAGCCATGGTTGTGCTGCATCACAAGCTCAATAAGGCTTTCAGCAGAAATTTGAAGTGCCCTCATATGTGGAGGGCCTTAAGTACAAAAAGCACTGTTTATCAGCAGCTTCTGGCCAAACTGGTGAGACATTTCAAGTGGAGCCACACAGGTCTGTTCTACACCAGTTTGTCTCAATTTTTGGTTGTAAAATTAATGGAGGATATGAGCTATCAAACCCATGGGCTACACTGAGCGGCAACATCAGCTCTTCCACTGATAGTTAGAAACTATGAAAAACAGTTAGGAACCAAAGTACTGAAATCAATCAAACAGAGGTGCAACACACTTGAGGAGGTGTAGTGGGCAGGCGATAATCCCAAGGAAAGGGCTGAGGGTTCTAGAGGGAAAAAAAGAAGTTGATGCCAGTGGAGGAGGGGAAAAGAAATAAAAAGAGGGAAAATCCCATTTGGGGATTTATCATAGTACTGTGTATGAAGCACCTGGGGTAACTCTTGTCTCAGATGTTCTGCTGTCAGCATCAGTGATGCTTGGCAAATGTTTGAGTTTGTTGCACCAACAAAAATATCCTCAGGACAATCACAACTCAGATGGAAAGTACAGCCTGTAAGAAATAAGGAATTAGATTTTTTTTCCAGAAAAGAGAAAAAGCACGCAGAGTACGATTTTCTAATATGTAAAACAAATTAAGAGTAATCATCTACATACTCCCCTTCCTCTTGAGGGTAAGGCAAGTAGCAGTGAGTTTGGCAGCAGATTTGTGTTGGATACTTCGAAAAACTTTCAAGATAATGAAGCAACACAACATTCCCTGGGTGTTTTAAAGAACAGCCAAGACCAACATGTAAAAGTAGCTGTGCATCATTAAGAATCACAGAATGGTTTGAATTGGAAGGGACCTTAAAGACCATCTCGTTCCAACTCCTCTGCCATGGGCAGGGACACCTTCCACCAGACCAGAGCTCAGAGCTCCATTCAGCCTGGCCTTGAGCACTTCCACAGATGGGGCATCCACAACAACTCTGGGCAACCTGTTCCCAGTGCCTCACTACCCTTACAGTAAAGAATTTCTTCCTAATATCTAATTTAAACCTATTCTCTTTATCGCCATGCTGCTGTAGAGAGGGGAAATGCAATAGGTAGTGTTTAAGGACCTTTCCAGGCTAACATCGCTGCATCAGAATCAGCAGTCAGCAAATCAAAAAAAAATTACAGACAGGAAAGAAAAACCTTCTCTGTTAGGGTCCTGTGTTTTGTTTTCACAACTGATGTCAGTACTGGCAAATGTATTTAAATGTGTTTCCTACAATAAAGAGCAAATGTGAGGTAGCAAGCTTTCTCTCTCATCAACTTGTTAAGCTGCAGGTGGTGTGGGCTGATGCCTCCATGGCTCAGGTAGGGTTATGTCTGGAGTCTGGGGCTGCAATGACTGTCTTTCATAGACACCAAGCAGAGGGACCAATTAAACAACCTGTTTCAGCAGTAACTGAAGCAGCAGGAAACCACTACCAAAACCAAGTCCCTGTGGGCCAGAGCCCTAAGCCACATGGTAGAACAGATTGCTCTGATGGCTGACTGTGAACACTGGAGTTGGATGTTTGAGCCACGTGTCCATGTCTCTCTCCCCGCGATATGCAGATAACAAAGGGAAATGTCAGCACAGCAATGCACTGCTGAAGAACTGCGTTTGCTCTGCTTCATTACTCAATGAAAAAGTGGGCTGGGATTTCCTGGCCAGCAACCTGTTCACAGGACAGGGCTTCTCTAGTGCCTTGGGCACCCTGAGCACAGCACCCCAAAATATTAGGCTCATCTTATGTGACTTTCTTCCTAATAAAAAAAGTCTCATGTTTTATCCAGGCCAGAAAAGGCAACACCAGCCCCCCTTTAAACCAGAAGTGTCAGATGTCTATAGGACATGCCGTGTGGGTAATACTGGTGACTGGGCACCCCAAAGTCTGTCTCCAGCAGCAGCAGGAGAACTTGGTTGCTTTCTACAGTCCATTTTCCTCCTCTGCCCTCAGCATTCCCAGCTGTTTAACACAGGTGGTGGGAGACATGTCCACCCTTTGTATGGCACTGCTGTCCATGAATCCATCCAGTTGCTTTGGGAATGTGCTGGTGCCACTGGCCTCCACAGCTTCCTGGGCGGCAAAGACACATCTAGATTCCTTGATAATGCCAGTTTGAATCTTCATAAATTCCTTTTTGAAGACCCAGCTATACTTCACCCACTGGCCTTTATCTATGCAGTTGCTGACGTGATCCCAGAACACCATCAGGAACCAAGGCAGGTTTGCTCCTTATGGGAGCTGGGCTGACTGTCTCTCAGCTGACTAGGTTTATTCACCACCCCATTCATCTTTAATACACTCTCCTATATTTCTCAGGATGGGCACCAGCCTGTGATCCCAAGGACGCCTGTGGAGCCAGTGCTGCAGTTGGGAGTGACTGTTTCTAATGCTTGCCTCAATTTATTTACTTGTCTTTCTTGAAACCAAATACACCCATATTGGATGCACATGACCTGCTTTTTCCCATTTCAATGTTAAAAGTGATCACTTTGTAGGATTGTAACCTCAGAGCAGCTTCCCACTAACACCCCTCAAACGAAGCCATTGTGCCACTCTCTAGTGTTTGTTCCTGTGGGTTCCTGAACCAGCTTTTCCTGGAAGCAGGAA